AAAGGGATTGGTGGATCGGACCCGCCTTTAAAGATCGACATAAACACCAGCAGCTGTCGATTAAACGGAATGATTCTCGTTCGATGAACAAAAATGTTAACTAATAACAATTCTTCCAGTAAAGTGATAGGTGATAGTGGTGGAAAATTGTAACTACATTCATCGCAGTCAAAATTCTCATTAATATTGATTCTCGTTAGTGAGCTAAATGTACCAAAAAAAAATCTAACCTCCAAACCAGAAATCATTCTACAATAATATTTCATCTGAAATAAAAAAAAATAATAATGCTCATTTCTGTGAGAAAAGGCCACGATCAAGACTGGAAGTTGTTGAATTTGGCACAAGTTGTAATGTTTAAGATATATATGAATGAAAATGGGTGCAATGAGTGTGAGAAAATCGTTTTATGGAAAAAGAACTTGTCAATTTGTGGTCTAGAATTGTTCTCCAGTTTACGAAAAGTTGCAAAGTATGTTTACCGAAATGTGTAAAATCTTCCAGAAAAATTGAAAACGATTTTCTTGTCCAAAAAATTGGGATATAGTTGAAAAATCGAAAGGGTATATTTACAAAAATGTATGAAATCGTCTAGTAAAAAAAAAATTTTTCGTAAAAAACTATCGCCAAGAACGGCAAGAACTAATAACAAAATCAAGTCGATAAAAATTCTGAGTCAACCCACTTGGTATGTGATTCGAGTGACGACGAATCATGTAAGTGGGTTGACTCGGAATTTTTATCGACTTGATTATTATTATCATAATTATTATCTTCTATTCGATTTTTTTATTCGTATTTCTGAGTTTCACCTTCCACTTGGCAGTAATTTTTTGTGGATTAATGAATCAGAAGTGATGAGTCAGAAAGAAATAAAAAAAACTAGCATTTGTTAATTTTTTATTTATCTCGGAAACGAGTAATTTTGAGAGAAAAAGTCAAAAGAAATTTTATTCAAGAAATTTACAAGTTTCTTCATCCAATTAATAATGAATACTCCTAACGGTAATTGTAATTGAAAATATACTTATGTTGAAAATTAAATCCTCTACAAAAAATTTCTAGAAACTCCTTGCATTCCCTCGAATTTTCCAGAAACACTCTGAATTTCCTGAAAATTTCTAGAACCTCTCTGAATTTCCTTGAAATTCCGAAAAACTCCCTGAATTCCCTCGGAATTTCTAGAAACTCCCTGAATTTCTTCGAAATTTAGAGAAACTCCCTGAATTTCCTCGCAATTTCTCGAAACTCCTTGAATTTTCTCGAGTTTTCTAGAAACTCTCTGAATTTCTTCAAAATTTAGAGAAACTCTGAATTTCCTCGAAATTTCTAGAAACTCCTTGCATTCCCTCGAATTTTCTAGAAACTCCCTGAATTTCCTCGAAATCTCTAGAAATTCCCCGAATTTTTTAGAAATTTCTAGAAATTCCTTGCATTCCCTCGAATTTTCGAGAAACTCCTGAATTCTCTCGAAATTTCTAGAAAATCCTTGCATTCTCTCGAATTTGCTAGAAAACTCTGGAATTTTCTAGCATTCTGATAGATGGCGGTGGCCGTCCTGAGTAGTTCCGAAAATGACCCCCCGTCATGAAATGAAAGACGTGCCCACGTCAAAATTTTTTTTTCTTAAGAATGTTCATCCAACACCGCAAGTATTCAAGAAAATTTTGATTTTTTTTTAACTTAGAGATGAAGATATTCCCTTTACTTCGATACAAATTTCAATCCACCAATCCATGTTCATTATTTAGAAATGAAGTAGAGAATATGCACCAAATGCATACGCTAACATGCGCTTATGTGGGATAAAATCATTCAAATATTTCCTGTGTTTGCCCCAGTACACCACATTTTTTTCTGGCCATTGGATTCAGAATAGTTTTACACATTACCATCTATTTTTATTTCTATTTCTAGAGTCTTCTAGTAGGCGAATTATCAATTTGGATATAAATCCCATAAGCGCCCGTGTATAAGGAAAAATTTGTTCATTCATTTCTGCCAAGACTATTGCGACTATTTTCTTTTGAACATCGAAAAAGTTAANAGAAATAAAAAAAACTAGCATTTGTTAATTTTTTATTTATCTCGGAAACGAGTAATTTTGAGAGAAAAAGTCAAAAGAAATTTTATTCAAGAAATTTACAAGTTTCTTCATCCAATTAATAATGAATACTCCTAACGGTAATTGTAATTGAAAATATACTTATGTTGAAAATTAAATCCTCTACAAAAAATTTCTAGAAACTCCTTGCATTCCCTCGAATTTTCCAGAAACACTCTGAATTTCCTGNGAAGTGAAGTATCAAATCAAAATAATTCAAATCTAACGTTTTTATTAATTCTTAAAATCAAAAAGTTCTTTAAACATAAATTCTCAAAAATCTCTGCAATAAGTGTTTTCAAGACTGAATGTCAATATTTCATCAGACGATATTTCTTTCATAAGGATGTCTATAAAATTGAAAAAGAAAAATTATCAAATTTTTCAAACTTCCCATGGAATTCCTTTTCCAAATGATTGCACATTAAAAAAACATGAACCAAGAGTCGCATCATTGAAAAAAATCCTATACTTGTTAATGTTCCAATCATGTCGGAAACGAATATTAGAAAAATAAGGAGGAAATTAGAGAAAAAATCTCTTTAAGAAAATCCATAAAATTGAAAAAAAAAATCATCGAATTTTTCAAACTTCCCCTAGAATCCCTCAATTCCGAGAGAATTGCATATAAAAAATGATAAACAAAGAGTCAAAACATTTAAAAAATCCTACACTTGCTAATTTTCCCTTCTTCTCACGAAAAATAATCAAAGAATAAAAAAGGAATTCGAAAAAAAAATTCTCGAAATTCTCTCTTAAATCCCAAGTATTTCCGGAATGATTCAACTACTATCGAGTCATAGAAAACCAAAATAAATGGTAAATTTCGATATTCATCACTGACTTTATTGTCCGATAACAATACAGAAGAAACTGTCACGGCTTTACAAAAATATGTGAAATCTCCCGAAAAAAACAAAGTCTTTTGTAAAAAAAAAACTCGCCAAGAACGGGTGCGACCGTTGATTTGTTTACAAAAAAACAATCTGAAATCGAGATAAAGGTATTGTACTAAGTACAAATTATTTTTTTAAAAAGTTATGAAATCAGAAAATGGCCGCCAAGCACTGATTCGTAAAACTTGCAGATCAGACAATCCACTCAAAAAAAAACTATCCTAAAGATGATCATCAAGTTTGAAAAATCGAGTTGACAAAAATTTGAAGTCAAAGGAGCGGGCGTATGGCATCACAAAAATCGGGGCAATACAAAAATCATAATGAAATTGAGAAAATCGAGTCAAGAAAAATCGCAGCAATACAAAAAAAATCAAAATAAAAAAATCGAGTTAATAAAAATTTGAAGTCAACGAACTTAGCGCGATTTTTGTGTTGTCGCACGCCAAGTTCGTTGATTTCAAATTTTTATTAACTCGATTTTTTTATTTTGATTTTTTTTGTATTGCTGCGATTTTTCTTGACTCGATTTTCTCAATTTCATTATGATTTTTGTATTGCCCCGATTTTTGTGATGCCATACGCCCGCTCCTTTGACTTCAAATTTTTGTCAACTCGATTTTTCAAACTTGATGATCATCTTTAGGATAGTTTTTTTTTGAGTGGATTGTCTGTGTACGGGGTAATTGACGCGATAGCTGAATAATTTTTAATGTCAACCCTTCCCTGGGGTTGTAAGTCCCAGCTATACTCCTTGGTACGTCAATCTGGTNTCCCTGGGGTTGTAAGGCCCAGGTATACTCCTTGGTACGTCAATCTGGTCTCCGGTACGGCTGCTGACGACGAGTGACCCGAAAGCAACAGAATTAAAAGTCTAAGGAACGGGATTGCAATAATTAGCCACAATTCACTTAAACTCACGATATAATTGATAATAAAAATGTTGATAAAATATTTCACAAAGGAGTTCACAAAAACAGAGTCTATTGATAAAGAAAAATGTTGATAAATTAATTCACAAGATAATTCACGAAACTAGAGTCTATAACAATGACTATTGTCTTTTATTGACACTTTTAAAATAACTTTATATTAGATCGGATATTTGGCTTTAAATACGAGATCAGAACTGAATGTTGTGTCTCGATGTTTTCTCTTTGGAATCTTCGTTGGTACTAACTTAAAATATTTCCTATGTTCTCCTCTTCATGTACAATGTAGAGTGAGGGTAAAGAGGGTTGTTCCCTTGTAGAGAGAGGGTAGAGAAATTTTCTTATTGGTGGAAAACTATTTGAAGGCGTGAAAATATTTGGGACTCAGCAACGCTGGTGACAGGTACGTTGAGCGCGTGGGTGAGGCCCGAAGAGACAAAAAAAAAATCCGGAGAGACAAAAAAAAGGTCCGGACGGACGCTCGGAGTTAAATTTACGATTTGCGTCTGGCGACCCAAGGTGTCTGGACAGTAACAATTAGAGAGAAAAATAATTTTTTTTGTGCCTATGAGTTGACAAGGGTTTTCCAGAGACAAAATTTCGGGATTTTATGACTTGTACGTGTGTAAACTCAACTCGAAGAGATTAAACTGCATCTTTCGGTTACTTGGGGAAACCGAAATTGTTTCGTGGGAAAAAATGGAAAGTTTTTAGGAAACGAAAGTATTTCAATGGTCGTCTTAACTATTAATTTACATGTACGACCGAACACGCTCCCCATTTGAGAGATTACTTCTCAATCGATTAAAACAATTTTAAATCTCGTTTCCATCCACACTAAAAACGATGTTAATATATTATGATTATATTTAACCGATAAATTTTTGTAAATTGATCTTATGTTATACGCGATTTGGAATTAAAATGAAAAGTGTTATAATACAATCAGATGTGTTAAAAATAGTAAATATTTCTAAAATTAAAAACAAAAAAAGAAAATTTACGTTAAAAAGAGACGTGACATGAAAATCAATATCTATGAATCACTAAATGTCTTTAGCATTGTCTTCATTTCTTTTGATCATGGAGTAGGGGGGAAAGTCTACGAATGTTTCTTTCAAATTCACCCTTGGCGGTTTTCACTTTTACCACTCGAACTACACCATCACTGCCTGGATAAGCCTGGATGACACGACCCAAGGACCACTGTCGGGGTGGTAAGTTGTCTTCTCTCAAGATAACTACCGTACCCTCTCCAATATCGTGGATGCCTTGGTTCCATTTGTGCCTCTGATTCTGCTCATTCAGGTATTCCTTATACCATCTCCTCCTAAATTCTTGTTGCTTCTTCTGGATCAATTCCCAACATGACAGTCGATTGTCAGGAGTCTCGCTGAAATCTGGTTCTGGCAAGCTCATTAATGAATCGCCAGTGAGGAAATGACCAGGAGTGAGAACAATTAAATCGTTAGGATCAGAGGATATAGGAGTGAGAGGACGGGAGTTTAAAATGGCCTCGATCTCGATCACAAGAGTGTTAAATTGTTCCAAGGTGACTAAATCATTGCAAATACGTTTTAAATGGTGTTTAAAGGATTTCACACCGGCTTCCCAGAGTCCTCCGAAGTGGGGTGATAAAGGGGGAATAAAGTGCCAGGTGATTCCTTGACCGGCGAGATGGCGATGAATTTCGTCGTTGTGTTTCTTGGATTGTAAGAAAGAATACAACTCCTTGATCTCATTGTTGGCTCCGATGAAATTTGTGCCATTGTCCGAGTGCATGTGGATGGGTTTTCCTCGTCGAGCGATGAAGCGTTTGAGGGCTGCAATAAAACCCTCGGTGGTCAGATCAGTTACTACCTCTAGATGAACAGCCTTGACCACTAGGAACACGAAGACTGCGACCCATACCTTGACGCGATTTCTGTTGCGGAATTTTTTCTCTTTTATAAAAAAGGGACCGCAATAATCAACTCCAACATTACTGAAGGGTTTTGCTTCTGTCACTCTAGATCTCGGGAGATTGCTCATTACATATTCACTCTTCGGTGGATTGGCCTTGACGCAAACTGTGCAGTTTTGAATGATTTTGCGTACTTGATGATGTCCATCGACTAGCCAATACTTTCTCCGAAGAGCATAGAGAGTTGTTTGAGCTCCAGAGTGATGATTCGTGATGTGTTCATTTCTGATAAGTAGATTGGTAACATGATGACCTTTTGGAAGGAATAAGGGATGTTTCTGATCGTAGGGAATGTGAGCGTTTTTTAAACGCCCAGCGACACGTAACAAACCGTTTTCATCAAGAAATAGGCGAAATTTGTTCCACTTGTGATTGCGTGGCAATTGTTCACCTTTTCTCAAAATTTTAATTTCTGTCGAAAATTCTGATTCTTGAACGATTTTGATAATTCGATCATTTGCCTGAATCAATTCTGACGCTGAGATTGGGCCTTTCAATTTATTTTTGAAACGTAAACCGAGAGCAAATAATCGTCTGAGGCGCCCTATCGATGAGTACCGTAAAATGTAGGGTACAGAAGTCGTTCTGTACTCGTCGTTCTCCATTTCTGGATGTTCTCTGGTGACGGGTGTAGCTCCAATCTCTTCTGCGTTCATTGGATCCGATAGCAGGCATTGCGTTTTGCGCATCTCAGGAATTTCAGCTGGAATGATGAGCTCACTGACTGGCCAGGTGTTTTCCTCGTCGGAGAGCCACGAGGGTCCATGTTTCCAGTTGAGATCTTCAGTGAATTCGTTGGGGAATAAACCTCTGGAGATATGATCCGCAGGATTATCTTTAGTGCGAACATGTCGCCATTCCGCATCACTCGTTTTTTCCTGGATGCTAGTCACACGATTAGCCACGAAGACTAATAATTTATTTGGAGGTGTTTTGATCCAATGCAAGGCTATCATTGAGTCGGACCAGAATGTGACTCGATGAATCTCGTGTGTGATAGCCTGCTTGGCCGCAATGTAAAGATCAGCTAACAACAATGCTGAGCATAACTCCAATCATGGTAGCGTAGGGGGACTGATGGGCGCGACGCGATACTTGGCGCAGAGGAGTTGTGTTAGCGTGGTTCCATGAACATCAGTTGAGCGTAAATAAATGCACGCTCCATACCCCTTCTGGCTAGCGTCGCAAAATCCATGCATTTGAATTTCCCTAGCTTCAGAAATGATCACTTTCCGATCGAAGGCTAAATCATTTAATTCAGTCAGTTGATTGGCGTAATTTCTCCACTCCGTGAGAATGCTGAGAGGAATGGCGTCGTCCCAACCCAATTTTTCAATCCACAAACGATGCAAAATCATCCTCCCCTTGACGATAACAGGACCAAGGAATCCAAGAGGATCGAAAATTTTAGAAACTTCTGCTAGCATCGTTCGTTTCGTGATTTTTCCAGTGAGTGGAATTGGTTTGATGGTATAGACAATGGCATCACGCGATGAATCCCAGTGAAGGCCCAATGTTTTGATGGTTGAGTCTTGGGACATATTCAATTTTAAATTTACGCTCTCTTCTGGTAAACCCTGTAGAAGACGTAGATCATTTGACGCCCATTGTCGTAAATTTAATTGTCCCTTCTGGAGTAAGGCGGTGATGTCATCTCGCAGCTGCAGTGCCTCCTCGAAAGTGTCAGCCCCTGAGAGTAAATCATCAACGTATGAATCGCGTTTGAGAATTTTCGAAGCGTGTGGAAATTCGTGACTTTCATCATCGGCCAATTGATGAACACAACGGATGGCTAAGTATGGAGCTGCGGAAAGACCAAAGGTGACTGTATTTAAATGAAAAACTTTCTCATTTCCATCTTTATCCTTCCACCAAATCAGTTTGTACGGTCGATCCTCTTCACGAATCCAGAATTGCCGATACATTTTCTCAATATCAGCGGTGATTACATACTGATGCGTGCGAAAGCGAGTGAGCAGAGAAAAAATGTCTTCTTGTATTGTGGGCCCAACCATGAGTGTGTCATTGAGGGATAAAAAATTCTCCCCTTTGGCTGATCCATCGAATACGACTCGTATCTTTGTAGTGAGGCTCGTTTCCTTCATGACGGCGTCATGAGGCAGGTAGAAACCTTTCTCTTCTTGGGTATTCTTTGGTGCTTCTGACATGTGGCCCAGGTCGGTGTATTCTTGCATGCCTGCAGAGTATTGTTTCTCCAACTCTGGGTTGCGTTGAAATTTCTTTGTCAAAGATTTAAAACGTTTCTTTGCAATTTCACGAGAATTTCTCAATTGAGTTTCTTTTCCATTAAATGGTAGAGCGACTACATATCTCCCCATTGCATCACGAGTGGTGTGCTTTTTAAAATGATCTTCACAGGCTTGTTCTTCCTTCGATAAATGCATTGAGGTGTTGATGTCATCCATTGTCCAGAAATTTTTTAATTCAGTCTCAACAGAAATAGTGTAAGATTGGACTGGGTGTTTTCTGGAGGGTGGTTTCATTGACAGCGCGCTTCCTCCAATGATCCAACCAAAACGGGTCTCTTGAAGAATCATGTCTGGATCACCGGGGTCATTCAGTTGAATCTGACCTTGACAAATGGAGGCCAGTGTCGTACCAACACTTAAGAGGATGTCAACAGGTGCGGGTTGATCGAAGGCTGGATCTGCCAACTGCAAATGTTTCGGAATGTTGAGATTGTTCCGATTGATTAGCTGCATGGGAAATAAATTGCCAATTTTTGGAACGGTTAAAAAGTTGAGTGTCCTGGCGTATCCATTCAATCGTGAATTCACCGTTGCTGTGACCACGTGATTTGTTGAAGAATTAGAGTTGGTCATTGTTTCGATTGACAGCTCGAGTTTTTCAAGGGGCAATTTCAACCTTTTTGCCAAACTCTCTGTCATAACGTTCGAGCTCGAACCAGTATCCAATATGGCACGGCAACGGATAGACTTCTTGGCAGCATTCAACACACTTACGACTGCAGTGACAATAGCATCCCTGTTTGGAAGAGAGGCGACGAGAACGGTCGCCGCAGGTACGTCCGAGGCAACTGGCAACACTAGTCATGCCAGTGAGGCCTGGAACTTCTTCAAATCATCGCCCTGCAAGTGAACTAGGGCGTTGTGTAGTTTCTGCAGATTGAGCAACGGTTTGCTTTACAGAAGCGAGTTCTGTGATTACCACGGAAACAATTGAGGCATAATTTGGCTTCACGGGTTGCATTGATTCGAGCTGGAACACTTAAGGCAAGGAATTTTTCACAAGTTTCCAATGCGTGTTGCTCATTGCATTTTGGGCAATTTTTTACCTCTGTCTCAGTGAGCAGTGTTTGAACTTTGTTACCATGGTTTCCTTTTTTGGGTTTATTTTGAGAACCATTGGAGATAGAGTTCTGGTTTCCTCTGGAGATTCTAGAAGAAGTGAGATGGATGGCTTGATCTCGGAGGAATTTGAGGAGGTCTTCATAATTAGGGATTTTATTACCGTTTTGACCTATTCCATTCTCTCTCGGTGTCCTTGTCCATCCTTCGCATGATGATGTGAGAAATGAGGGTAGTCCAATTTTCAACAGGTTCCCCAAGTGCCTTCATGGCGAGAATGTGCGTCTGGATGTTGTTGACCAACTTGCGAATTTCTTCAGGGGAGCTATTCTTCATCGCTGGGGTGTCGTGAAGGAGATCACAGTGACGAAAAATTAAAATGTACTCGACGTTATACGTGGACTCGAGTAACTCCCATGCAACAGCATAATTCTCATCAGTCGTTTTAAAGGCATCGATCATTGTATGAGGCTCACCAGTTAGAATTCTCGTGAGAAAATCGAGTCGTTGGGAATCTGATAGGCCCTCATGCTCGTGGATAAATTTTAGACACCAGTCTCGATAGGGGCGATAATTCTCAAGTCTACCATCGAATTTTTTGACCTCCGCCTTTGGCATTGAGGAGAGGTAATCTGTGGTGCGCGATACAGAAGAGCAAGAGTGTTCTCGTAAGGGAGCTTGATTTGCAATAATTGCTTCGCGGTGGGGGTCTCTGAATTTTCTGATAAGTACCTGCATATCATCATATTCAAACATAATATTTTCCGATTCTTCACTGTGATTTCCGTCAGGTTCCAATGTTGAAAGTTCCTGTTCCATGTTTGCCAGGCTAGCTATGCCTTCATCGATTTTTGGAAGATTTCGATTGATCGTGTCGTTACTCGTGAAAAGTCCCGCCGATCTTAAGTGTTTTGTTAATCTGGTGATTCTGGCTTTGAGTTGACCGCGAGCTTGGATGAGGCAGGCACGTCTGGCTCTTTGAGCATCAGTTAATTCAACCATTGTAATCGAGATGTGAAGGAATTTAGGGAAAAATTAAGGGATATGAGGTCTGACGATTCAGAAATATAGTGAGCTTACCGTTGAGTTGTCTCTGGATTCTCGAAGGTAGGTGGATGCGACGTGGCTATCTCAGCTCCCCAGTAGTCCGTGACTGCGGCTTTGCTCCTCACGTAGTTATAGACACATGTCTTCAGAACACGCATTCGTGAGTTGATGTAAAAATGACAATTCACTAATGTTAACTTCGAACGCACTTGACGAAGACACGAACTGTGATTTTATTAAGTGCTTAATTGCAATGTTCGACGAAAGTATACAATGAATTAGAGTTCACGAAAGTAACACTTCGAACGCACTGTCTTATGTCCACTCTAGTGATGTCAAAGTCTCTTTTTTCACTGTTTTCTTTCACTTTATTAATTGAGTTACTAGAAGAATTCCACAGGATTAAATCTGCTGATTTAATTCACCAAAAATCCGGCTCGAAGGACCATAAAATGTACGGGGTAATTGACGCGATAGCTGAATAATTTTTAATGTCAACCTTCCCTGGGGTTGTAAGGCCCAGGTATACTCCTTGGTACGTCAATCTGGTCTCCGGTACGGCTGCTGACGACGAGTGACCCGAAAGCAACAGAATTAAAAGTCTAAGGAACGGGATTGCAATAATTAGCCACAATTCACATAAACTCACGATATAATTGATAATGAAAATGTTGATAAAATATTTCACAAAGGAGTTCACAAAAACAGAGTCTATTGATAAAGAAAAATGTTGATAAATTAATTCACAAGATAATTCACGAAACTAGAGTCTATAACAATGACTATTGCACTTTTAAAATAACTTTATATTAGATCGGATATTTGGTTTTAAATACGAGATCAGAACTGAGTGTTGTGTCTCGATGTTTTCTCTTTGGAATCTTCGTTGGTACTAACTTAAAATATTTCCTATGTTCTCCTCTTCATGTACAATGTAGAGTGAGGGTAAAGAGGGTTGTTCCCTTGTAGAGAGAGGGTCGAGAAATTTTCTTATTGGTGGAAAACTATTTGAAGGCGTGAAAATATTTGGGACTCAGCAACGCTGGCGAAAGGTACGTTGAGCGCGTGGGTGAGGCCCGAAGAGACAAAAAAAAAATCCGGAGAGACAAAAAAGGTGCGGACGGACGCTCGGAGTTAAATTTACGATTTTCGTCTGGCGACCAAAGGTGTCTGGACAGTAACAATTAGAGAGAAAAATAATTTTTTTTGTGCCTATGAGTTGACAAGGGTTTTCCAGAGACAAAATTTCGGGATTTTATGACTTGTACGTGTGTAAACTCAACTCGAAGAGATTAAACTGCATCTTTCGGTTACTTGTGGAAACCGAAATTGTTTCGTGGGAAAAATTAGAAAGTTTTTAGGAAACGAAAGTATTTCAATGGTCGTCTCAACTATTAATTTACATGTACGACCGAACAGTGTGATCTGCAAGTTTTACGAATCAGTGCTTGGCGGCCATTTTCTGATTTCATAACGTTTTTTAAAAACAATTTGTACTTAGTACAATAGTCGAGTGCTTTATCTCGATTTCAGATTGTTTTTTTGTAAACAAATCAACGGTCGCACCCGTTCTTGGCGAGTTTTTTTTTTACAAAAGTCATCTTTTCCTCTGTGTCCGTGGTCAACGCGTAGATGTGTGCGTCTGTAGGTGAGACGCTACACCCCCCCCCCGTCCTCAACTAATCAAAAACTGAATTCACAACAGAGAAAAAAAAAGAAAAAAAAAACAATTTGTACATTTTACCAAGTTAATACAAATCACGAGAAAAATGTAGCACTTTCATTTAAAAAATCTACTGAATTTCTATTGAAACTATAAGTCTATTGGAGGTCTGTGAATATTCTACAAAATAATTCTATTGGTTTTTTGCGTCATTTCTATTGAAGATTATGCAACTTTACTATATTATAATCTTAAAAAATGATTCTAATAAAAAATTGAAGAACACAATATCTTTCCTTCGTTTCACTTCACCCGTTCATAATTTTCTGAATCGATAATGTTTTATGATTCAATCATTTTCGTCGCCGAAGCCTCCACTAACAAAAACGTCAACCAGTCACAATGAAAAATATAAGGAATAAGGAACGAGCATAAGGAGCAGGACGGAGGAATGCAAAACTGAGGCAATATGAAACAGCTGACTGGGAGGTCGGAAATTTTACGAGTTCAGTGCAGTTAACGCTCCTAGGAGCATTAAAACGCAACCTGAAGTCAGCTCTTTATCAAAGCCAATGGCTGCTAATCTATCGACCGCAAAACAGGACGATAGGTGACAGTTAGCGGGACTCAGTGATGAAAAAACTTTCAAGAGTGTACATCACCTCTTTGTTGAAAATAGTATATTGTGCATCAAGGGCGGAAAGTCATGTTTTCCCGCCCGAGGTGCACATGCTATTTTCTAACACGCCTGCAAAGGAACGTCCGTATTTTGATCTTTGATGAGCGGGAGGAAAGTACGAACTTTCCGTGCAGGTGTGTGAAAAATTACATTTTTTCAACAAATTTGGTGATTCTTCTCAGAGAAACGATGAGATTGACTTTTTGTCATCATAAATGATGCAGCTTCGTCTGATTAAGACTGGATTGAAATTCCAGCAAAATCGTCTCAGCGGTTTCGGAGTAATTCGAACATAAATTTTTGAAATTGGAAACTTTTCAAAGATTTTTCAATACAGGTCAATTTTCTTCATTATTATTTTTTTCATTCTGTTTTTCTTTTCTTTTCATTAAGAAAATCCAACAAAAAAACAGAAAATTTGAGCCGAGGAAATTGAATGAAAAATATCTCAATAGAATAAGTTACATGGAAAAATTTAATTTTCTACATTAAGAGTGTTGCGTTTCAAACTTGAATATTCATTAATTTTATCTAAATTTCAATCAATTATTAATGGCATAATTTATCTTCAAATATCCACATTGAAAGTTCATTAATAAATTACATGAATCTGATTCTGATCATTCGATTCTTTCTATTATCTGAGAAAACTTAATCTATTGAAAAATTAATCTGCCACCTATCCAAAGTAAACGAATATCAATTTAAAAGAATCGACTTATTGTCAATTACTAAAAATTAGTTTTGAACGACCAATCCATTCAAATTACCTAAAGTATCGGTTGTATCCAAACAAATCAACTAAACTTGAGAATAAAGTAAGTGAACTTATTTTGTAACTCAGGTGAGGAGTATTGTTAACGCGATGCAACAAAAAACCATTCTTCAGCAAAATAGTGCGGTTTTTCCTCTATCTGTGTACATTCATTTTTGAATCATATGAATAAACAAACTGAAGTCAATTTTTTTTCTGAATAACAGAAGTAGTTCAGCGGTTTTCTCCAAATAAAACCTAAAAAATTCAATTTTCCATATCACTCTTGTTCCCTCTGAATTTTTCCATCACCCTTTCCATCATAAAACGTGATTTTTTTTTATCAAAGTCCTGCATATCGCACTCAGATA